CGGGCGGGCGGGCGGCTGCTCACCTGGCCACGTGGGTGACCACGGGCGCGAAGTTGGTGGGGCCGTAGAGCTGCACGGTGCGCAGGCTGCGGTGATAGGCGTCCAGGATGCCGTCGATGCCGCAGCACGAGGGGTCCTCCTGGTTGCCGTTCTGGAGCAGAGCAGAGGCCGGGCCCAGGGCTCACCACAAGGACCCGAGAACCGAGAGGTCTGCGGCTGCTCTGTCCCTGTGTCCCGCGCCCTGCGTGACACCTGGCCCAGCCGCCGGTGGGGGCAGAGGGGAGGCCGCCCAGACTTCAGCTCCACAGGGCCGTGGGCCCCAGGAGCACCGTCTCCGTCACCCTGGATGACGGATCACGCCTGGATGCCCCAGAGCCTCATGTGCTCAGCGCAGACTTTCGGAAGGTGGCGGGTGAGGGCCCTGTCTGACTTCCTGTTGGGAGGTGACTGCAGGTGCATCGCGCTCCGCTCCCCTCCAGTCTCTGCTTCCCAGCCCGCCGTGGGCCGCCAACCCCAGCTCCCCGCCCCCAGCCCTACCAGCGGGAACTCGTGGGAGACACGGCCGTCGGGGGGCAGCTTGGCCCCGAAGCCCAGGGCGGGGAACATCTTGTCGCTGTCGTAGTGCTGGATGATCTCCCCCACAGCGGTCAGGGCCAGCGCGTAGGCGTTCAGCTGGTAGGGGCTCATGTAGTGCAGCGACGTGGACTGCGAGGGGTTCCCTGGGACACGAGACACGGGTCGGCAGGGAGCGGGGCGGCAGGGGCTCGAGCACCCTGGCCTGGCTCTCTGGATACTGGACTCCCCTCGCTTGCCGCACGTTCCATCCCTTGGCAAATCCCGGCTGCTGAACTGGAAACAGTTGGGACAGCAGTGGCCTCCGTAGGCGCCTGCTCCTTTCTACCCACGCACCTGCTTCGCCACAAGGGCGAGCTGTCACACGGCCCGCAGCACTCGGGGCTCCTGTAGACCCGGAGCCAGCAGGTGGCGCAGGCTCCCACCAGCCCCGGCCCTTGCTGCACACCCTCAGCCCGCCTCACGGGCCCCTGGCCATCCCCACCGTACAGCCTGGGCGGTGGCTGTGCCCTCCACGACCCCTCTCTCATTGCCTCTGCACCGCCTCAGGGTGGCCCTGAGCAGCCTACGGGAAGTCATAGCCTCCCCAGACCCACCACGGACTCCCCTGTAGTCCCCGTCACACTTCCCAGAGTCCATACGTCACCGATGGGGTCATTAATGAGAAGCTGAGCAGCAGGGACAGCGAGGGCACGCCCTGCCACTGGCGTGGACCTGGTTAAGTCCCTGAGCTGCTCAGCCTCAGTCTTGTATGTAAACTGAGGGTAACAATAGTCCCTACCCCAGGATCACAGGGAGGGTTAACTGGGTGTCAGTGGTGTCCTTCAGGCCCGATGCTTGAGCCGCAGCCACAAGAGGGTTCCTGACACACAGGACAGGACACCGGGCTCCGGCAGCATCTGACTGGCACCAAAATGAGCGCTGAGCACCCTCACAGGTCCAGAACCTGAAGCAGGCTGTGACCTAGCGACTGTTCCCTGAGACGCAGCCACACTCAGGCCCTGAGGTGGTCAGAGGAGGGAGGAAGCAGGGGCAGCTGCCCTGGCAAGGGAAGCACTGGATTTGGTCCCCACTGTGCTCCGGCCCCCAGGCTGGACCTCTCAGGCGAGGGGCTGTGACCGGAAGGACACATCGCGGCCACAGGGGCCTGAAGGGCAGGCCCAGGGCCTGGCACGGGACCCCCGAGCCCGGCTGTGTTAGTGTCGGCACTGTGACCCGGGAGACCTCTGCCGTCTCGGTTGTACCTTGGTCCCTCGGGCCCAGAGACCTCTTTTTTGGTGAGGAAGAGGCCACAGAGTAGGAGGGACCCAGGGGTTCATGGCCAGGGCCATCGCCACCACCCTTAAGTCTTCCTCTCCCCTGTCCAGCCCCCACTCACCGTTGGAGGCGGTGAAGTCAATGGCCACCGTGAAGTTGATCTGGGTCCTAGAAGAGGGGAAGTGGGGGTCACCAGGGAAGGTGGGGCCGTGTGGAGGGTCGAAGGTGCTGGGCAGGAGGGACGGAGCCACCGAGCTCCAAGAGTGTGGCCTCAGGGGAGAGAAAACGGGACCGTAAAGCCCACTGTGCCCTCCTCCAAAGGATGCCGTGAGTCCTGAGTGGGTGAGGCTCTGCTGGGCACAGAGGCGATTACTTCCTTCCTCCTGAATTCTGCCCTCTGGGGCCACCAGAGTGAGCTGGGTAAGGACTAGTCTCACTGGGCTCCTGATTCAGGGCTACAACACATGACAAAACAGATGTTACTGATTTCCCCAGGGAAGAACAGGGCACTGCTGTGAAGTCGTCTTGCCAAAAGTTGAGTCTGAATCTGACTGGGCTCAGCATTCCCATCTACCAGTTCTTCACAGGAAATAAAGGAGACAGAGGCACAAGCCGAGTGACACCATGGGGATGCAGCCAGCAAAACTGAGTCCTTGGGAAACTGAGAACAACCAGATGAGAGTTTCATTGACCTGCATGTTGGCACTGGCCAGGAAGCTGGGAGTCTTGGGTTCCTTCATCACCTCCTGACTCCGAATCTCTTGGGGAGTCACACGGGTGCTTGGGGAGCCAACAGATGAAAAACAATTAGGAGGTAAATCCACGAGTCAACATATGGATCTTGCTGGATTTCTTTTTTGGTACTGGGGATCGAACTCAGGACCTTGTGTTTGCCAAGCAGGCACCCGCTGCCTGGATTTCTGATTCAAACAAACCAATTTAAAATCTATGAAGCTGGGAGTGATGATGGCTCCCTATAATCCCAGCACTCTGGGAGGTTGAGGCAGGAGGATCACAGGTTGAAGTCCACTCTGAGCAACATAACAACTTAGTGAAATCTTGTCTCAAAAAAATTTTTGTTTTAATTAAAAAGGGCTGGGGCTGGGGATTTAGCTCAGTGGTTCCAGAGCCTGTCTCGCAAGCTCAAGAACCCAAGTTCAATCCCTAGTACCACCAAAAAAAAAAAAAAAAAAAAAAAAAAAAAAAAAAGG